TCTGGCTTTTTTTTTTTTCTTTTTCTTTTGAGAGACAGAGAGACAGAGAGAGTAAGCAGGGGAGGGGCAGAGCAAGAAGGAGACAGAGAATCCCAGGCAGGCTCTTCGCTGCCAGCCAAAGCCTGATGTGGGGCTCAAACTCACAAACCAGGAGATCATGGCCTGTACTGAAACCAAGAGTCAGACTCTTTATTGCTTAACCAACAGAGCCGCCCAGGCGCCCCCTCTGGCTTTCTTTTGACATCTGTTTACATGAGAAATGTTTTTCTATCCCGTCACTTTCAATCTGCAGGTGCCTTTAGGTCTGAAATGGGTCTCTTGTAGACAGCATATAGATGGGTCTTGTTTTTTTTAATCCATTCTATCACCCTATCTGTTGTGATTGGAATGTTTGGTCCGTTTACGTTAGAAGTAATTACTGATACATATGTATTTACTGCCTTTGCATTACTTGTTTTCTGGTTGTTTCTGAAGATTTTCTTGATCTTTTCCTGTCATTCTTTCTTTCATGGATTGCTGGTTTTCTTCAGTGATATATTTGGATTTCTTTCTCTTTATTCTTTGTCTATTTATTAGTGGTTTTTGATACCGTTAGGTTTGTGTATAACATCTTCTGCATATAACAGTCTACATTAAGGTGATGCTTGTTTAAATTGGAGCCCTTTCTTTACTCCTGTCTCCCCCATGTTTCAGGTATATGGCATCATACTTTATATCCTTCAATTTTGTGAGTTCCTTGACTGATTTTTTTTACAGAGGTATTCATTTTTTCTGTTTTTGTGTTCGCTACTTTCATACTGTCATTTTTGGCCTTCCCTTTCCATGCCAAGAGTCCTCTTTAATATTTCTTGCAGGGCTGCTTTAATGGTCACAAACTCCTTTAGTTTTTGTTTGGGAAACTCTCTCTTCTTTGGTTTTGAATGGCAGCCTTGCTGGTAGAGTATTCTTGGCTGCAAGTTCTTCCCATTCAGCACTCCGAATGTAGCATGCCACTCCCTTCTGGCTTGGAAAGTTTCTGCAGAAAAAGCCATTAATAGCCTTATGGGGTTTGCTTTGTATAACACTGCCTTCTTTTGTCTTGCCGCTTTTAATATTTTTTATCACTATATTTTTACCATTTTTATTACAATGTGTTGGTGGGGTGCCTGGTTGGCTCAGTCGGTAGAGCGTGCAACTCTTGATTTTAGGGTTGTAAGTTTGAGCTCCACGTTGGGTGTAATAAAATAGTAATAATAAAAAACAGTATGTCTTGGTGTGGTCCAGTGAGTATCCTTATGATCATTGCTTTAAATTCTCCATCAGACTTGTTACTCTGTTTTACTTAGATCTCCAGCTGTAGCCTTCTCTAGTTCTTTCACTCGGGACAAATTCCTCTGTCTTCTCATGTTGTCTAAGTTTCTGTGCCCATTTCTCTGTGTTAGGAAAGTCAGCTATGTCTCCTGTTCTTGAGGGTAATAGCTTTGTGAAGAAGAGGTCCTATATTACCCTGCAGTATAGTGTCCCCTTTTTCCCAGGGCTTGGCACTTCTAGGAGTGTCTCCAGTGTGTTGTGTGTATGCTCTGCTGTTGTGTCCTAACTGCTATATCCATCAGGCCAGCTGTCTGCAGAGACTCTCTTTGCCTATTGTGGGCAGTGTTTGGTCCCTGGCCTGCATATGTCCATTTTTAACTAGGTGCGCTCTGATCTGCTTGTGAAATGAGACACGTCTCCACTGTCACAAGAACTAAGGCCTCTCACCAAAACTTCTGACAGGGGTTTGGGCCAGTCTTCTAAAGAGCGGCCCTACCCCACTGAGACTGAGGCAAGCATGACTGGAAAGGGCAGTTCTTCCAGATAGCAAGGGGGCGGGGCTTGGTGTAAGCAAGTTAGGTAGCAAGTGTCGAGTGTTCGTGGTATACTGGTACCTGCAGGTGGCCCCGTGCTTATACTGAGGGGCTGTGGAGGGAAAGGACACTGGCCAGCTTCTTTGTTCCTGGAGGGGTCTCTCACTGAATGCTGCCTATCTGGGACAAGTGCCAAGATGACCAAATAACCTCCTTGCTCTGTGCCCCAGGCACTCTTCAGATTGCTGTTTTTGCCTACTATCTCTCCAAGAGCAGCGCCAATGTCCTCTGAGCTCTCCTTTAAAACTCCAGGCTCTAAGCCTTACTGGTTAAAAGAACTCACAAAATTTAAGCCCTTTCACTTTCCAAGTCTATTGCTGTGGGTATTTGTCTCTCCTGTGCATTCCCGTGTGCCAGTCTGTCTCTCACCCTTCTCTGAGATTACAGCTCCCTCCCCACTGCAGCACCATGATCCATTTCTCTCCCAAGCCAAGTCTCCACACTTCCTACTTTCTTTATTGTGGCCTCGTCTCTACCTTTGGTTGTGGAGTTTGTTCTTCTAGTCTTCAGATTGATTTCTGGAGTATTTAGGATGATTTGATAGGTATCTAGTTGTATTCGTGGGACAAGGCAAGCCTAGCGGCTTCCTACTCCACCATCATCTTCCAAGAATCCCTGTAGACCTGGATTTCAAGGACTCATGTGATTAGGTCAGGTTCATCTTGATAATATGCATAGCTTAAGGTTAAGGGACCTTAATTACATCTGCAAAATTCCTTTTGCCATGTGTTTTATTTTCCTGGGTTGCCACAACAAACTATCCCAAAATTGGTGATTTATAGCAAGAGAAACTTATTCTCTCACAGTTTTGGAGACCAGAAGTCAAATGTCAGTTGTTGGCAGCGTTGGTTGGCTTCGGGGGCCTCTGAGGAAGAATCTGTTTTATGCCTCTCCCAGCTTCTGGTGTTCGCTAGCAATCTTTAGTGTCCTTGGCTTGTAGCTGTGTCACTCTGATCTCTGTCTTTACATGGCTCATCCCCTGTGCGTCTCTGTATCCTCTCTCCTTTATAGGGATACCAGTATTGGACTTAGGGTCTACTCTACTCCAGTATTACCTCATCTTAACTAATGATATCTGCAAAGACCATATTTCCAAAGGAGGGTACATTCTGGGTTTTGACCGGAGATGAATTTCAGCCCCCAACAGTCCACCTTTGCCCCCAAAATTGATGTCTGTCTCATGTATCAAACACACTTAACTTACCCCAGTATCCTCAAGTCCTTATTCATTCCAGGATCGATTCTAAGTCCAAAATCTCACCTAAATAGCATCAACTCCACAAATCCCATGTCATCATCTAAGTCAGTTATCCATGAGACTGGGTATGAACTTAACTTTATTATGCAAAGAAATGGCCTGTAAGCTGGAGTCTGGAAATAAATTCGCTATATAGGGATATTGTAAGGTAACTTAACCAATTTTAATTAGGATAATTACCATTAAAAAAGACAGCATATATAGCTAAAATATATATTTATTAAACACTAACTGAATACTTAACTAGGTGCTAGGAATATATTAATAAATTAAAATTGACAAAACCCTAACCTTCATATTTACATTTTGGAGCTAAATATGTTCCAACTTGTTAAGAAATCATTATTTTCATGAGAATATTTTTTACCTTATGTGAATAAATGGTTTTTGATGATTTCTATTTATGTTGAGCACATACATGAATAGGCCTCAGAAATTCAGTTTGTTGGTTACAAGGTTGGTGAGAGGAGCAGCTAGCTCTCTTGCCTTTAGAACCTACACAGCTATTATACTTCAGCTTAGTTCCGCATAAACATTTATTAAGCACCACCTTCTGCACCACTATTTGGCATGTCATCAGAGGTCATGTGTATCTGCCTGCATCCTAAGTAACCTCTGCATCCCTTCACTCACCTTATGTCCCAGCCATATGGAAATACTTGCTGTACCCTGAACATTTTTTATGACACTTGTGTCTTTGTTCATGTCCTTCTTTCTGCCTAGAAATACTTTCTTTACCTATGGGATACTTAACTTGCCTTTCTAGATGCAGAACCAATGGGACTTCCTCTGTGGAGTCTTCACATTTGCTATCCTGTGGCCTGAGTGAATTGCACCTTATTCTGTATTCTACACCATTTTGTCTCTACTTGGCTCAGCATTCTTATTGGCTCTTCTTTATATTATTATAAACCGATGAGTTCCTCCAACTAAACTGTAAACTATTTAAGAGAATTAATTGATATTTATATGCCTTGCACATCATAGGCAAATAGTGAATGAATATAAATTGAAAATAATTTTAAATCACTAAATTCTGTGCCTGAAACTAACATTACATTGTATATTGACTGGAATTTAAATAAAAACTTGAAAGAAATGGTTTTAAAAAATTTCAGAATACATAAAATTATTAATAAGAGTTCCTGATATTTTAATTTATATGGGAAAATATTGCTGTGATTAAATATATTTTAATTGCAAAAGCATAGGAATATAAGAATTATCACTGTTGAATGAGAAATTAAATAGTAAATATAAAAACCAAAATGTTACCTTACACATAATAGTGATTAGAGATTTTTATGTTTCTAACACAAAGTCTTTTGTTATGTGCTAACTTTGAGCACTACATAACTCATCCATTAATACTCAAAAAGTGGTTAAGAATAATGCAGTGAAAATGATGTGCCATATTTTTATATTGTAATTATGCAAAAAGCAACCAAAAGAAGGAAGTCACACTTTTTGTATTTTGACAACATGTGAAAGTAATGGATTTTTTTCTGTTACATCTTTGTGCTTACTGTATGTATTTACCGGTTTTGATAATGGAGGTCTTTTTGTTAACATATTAGTGAGTTGGAAAGGAGTTTTTAATTTGTGGAAAGGTTGGTATTCTTGGCAAAGTTGTTTAAAGATGGAAACCTTGGCAAGCATAATAAATTCTGGACTAACATGAAATATTAGAACTTTTAATTTATAATAATATTGTGATGCTTCAGCATTTTATTCTTATGGGAATTTTTGTTTAAATGATTAGAAAACATAACAGAAGAAAAATTGTTGCAATTTACTGTCTCTCTTGGTTGGTAAACAAGCCATTCTAACTATTTCCTCTTTGCTCCTGTCTATTGCAGGCTTAGTCCTCCTGTCCTTCCCCTGAGCTCATTGAAGGAAATACATCTGTCTACTGATAAGTTTTTCAGAATGGAACCATCTGAAGTTACCAATGGTTGTTTTCTTTCTGTTCTAACAAGGGAGGTAAGGGGGAAATCCCAATCCACGTCATACTTTGTTAAGAATTAAGAAACGACAAGGCCTCAAAAAGAGGAACCTAGGAATTTTGTGAACATTCTGTAATGGTGTGTTTATTTCATAAGTAGCTAAAAGACAGGGGAAAGAATTATAACTGTGTTACACAAAAGTCCCTAATTTTTTTAAGTTTATTTATATTTTTAGTAAGCTCCACACCCAACATGGAGCTCGAACCCACAACCCTGAGATATCAAGAGTTGCACATTCTTCTGGCTGAGCCAGCCAGGTGCCCCCAAATCCCTGTTTTTCTCTCTTTCCCCTGAGTATGCCTCCCTTGCCTGCTCTCCACCCCCACTTCTCCAAGCACTTTGCCAACATCTAGTTCATCTTAGTTCACATGGGAAAAATAGGCTCTGTAATTCTTTTTGTTCCATCAGATTTACAGATGGGGAAGTTTTGGGGCACCGGGGTGACTCAATTGGTTAAGTGTCTGAGGATCATGACCTCATGGTTCATGAATTTGAGTCCCACATTGGGGTCTCTGCTGTCCGCACAGAGCCTGCTTCAGGTCCCCTGTCCCTCTCTCTTGCCCCTTCTCTGCTTGCTCTCTCAAAAATAAATCAATAAAAACTTAAAACAGAATAAATGGGTAAATTTAAGCATACACAAATAAGTCATTTGCTGAGGTCTACGGGATATATTAGGGACTAAGGCCTAAAAACCTTTTCTTTTATAGTAATAAAGATACTTTTATTTTTACTGAAACACTGAGAAGATCTGTAATATACACAGTAATAGTTAACTCCAACATTTAGTAACTGCTTCTTTTGATCGTAGCGGGACCCATCTGAGGCAGTGTCTGTGAAAGATGTTTTGGCCCGTGCTGCAGCAAAGGGTCTACTGGATGGAATCGAGTTGGGTAAAACTTCAAAACGGGAGAAGAAGAAGAAGAAAAAATCAAAAATATCATTGTCAAAAGCTCCCATGAGTAATAACGGCGGCATCCAAATGAAAATCGCTGAATTCCTGACCCGAGAAAGTAATGCAAATGCTGATCGGTCAGAGATACTCACAACAAAAACGTCTCTTCCGCAGAAAAATACAACTACAGCTGGTTCTTCCTCACAGGTCAGAAAACCCAACAAGCCCGCCAGCAATTCTTTAGTGCCTACATTTACGAAGAACACATCTCGCCCCAGACCATATGAACGACAGACACACTTAGCAAGATCTCGCCCAGAAGACAGAGTGATGACACTGAAGCCTGTAGAGATTGTTTTGCCTCCAGTCATGTTGCCGTTTCCAGGTTCCCAGGAGATCAAATCTCAGCTCCCAACTCGACATCTTTACTGTCGTTGGGTTGGACCCAAGACTCTCATGCCCAGCTACTTTCCCTCACCAGTGATCTCCAGAAGAGGGGAAAAGCCTAAAGAAAACTTACCTTCCTCCCTGCTCAGGCGTCCTCGACCATGGCTTTGACTGTCTTGTGTTTTCGACAGGGGTCAAGAGCAGCTGATGTTTTTCAAAGCCCGGTATTTCTCCGAGGGTTAGCCGTCCCTATGTAAGATACTCCTACTTTTGCCCACTCGGTATCTTCTAAATGTGGTATCACCTTCACGAGAATTAGGACAAGTGAGAAACAACAATGGAGGCAATTCAACAAAATCAGAATTCCCACATCTCAACAGCTCAGTGCTGATCTGTACTGCAGCGTCCAGCTTAGACTCGGTATCTGCTGTCAGAACTTGTGTCTCTCCCCTCAACTTTCAGTCTGGACTCAGGACACTGGTTTTAAGAGAAAGGTGTGGCAATTTATACTGAAGGGAAACACTGTCGGCCTTGCAACAGACTTGAGGCGGTCTACTAGAAAGCGTAGGTGTGCAAAAGCTGCGGATTTCTCACACCAGCTTTACGTTGCTTTTTCAGTATCCACCTGTGGTTTGACATTTTCAGTCTCTATGATTGATTTTTTTCTTAAATATCAAAACATTCTTTAAACGGGGGTGTTATGAGTTTTTGTGATGTGATTGAGATGGAGTAGGAAGAACAGGAGGTTCCAAAGATCCAGGTGTGTGTAGTTCAGATGTATGTTAAGAGAGCAAAAATGGTTTCTCATTAGAAGAGCTTCTGGATCCTGAGCCGATTGAACACAATCAGCTGTCCCTTCTGTTTATGCCAAATCTGGTTGTAAAAAAGTGGCTGTACACAAATTTCCATCCCAATAGTACTAATTCTGAGGAAGAGGCAAAACTGTGACCCCTCTTATTGAAGAAATCCATGAAAATGTCTGATTCTGTTCAAAGATCAGGTAAAAATGCTAAAATCTACCAGTCATTTCATATGGCACATAGTAATCAAACTTGGGTAAATCATCTCTGATGCACAGTTAAGATATATTGTAGCACTATGTTAATTATATTAAAAGTCAATTCATCTTGAATGTATTATCCATTGTCTACCAAGAATTAGTATGATTATCATTTCAGGGTCTATTGATTTTCTTCTTTATCATGGAAACAGAAATTGACATTTAATCAAATAAGTTACAACTATGAAACCTATTGTTTAAGAAAATGTTCATAGACACAAAGTTTGAATATAAAGTTCTATTTTCAGAATCCAGTCGTGTTGAACAGTGTTATGTAAATTCCTAACTGTTCAGTTCAGGCGGCATGATTTCAGTAGGATATTATCCTCTTCAAGATGAATTTTTAGATCTGTTTTAGCTTAATACTCTATTTTCTCACTTGCAGTGAGGATAAACAAAATGGTGAATTTCATTTTATTGGTAATATTTTAGCTAAAAAGTTACATTTATCAGTAGAATATGTCAGTGAAGATAGGAAACAAGCCTTTGTACACTTGAACTTTGTATTTTAAATCCTCAAAGAATTCTCAATTATGACTCTCAGCAAGTACAGAAATGTTGTAAATGCTCAGCTTATTTTACCGACTGCAAAAATCAAAAACGATAGATTTCTTTGTTCCAAAAACTCCCTTTCCTCTTTCCCTCCGGTTTGGCTGGCTCGGAGCGCCCCGTGCCCCTAGGGCACTGGTGCAGCTGCAGTGAACTCTGCTGCGTGCAGAACTGCCGTGTTATCCCTGGAATCGCTCATCCCTCCTGTGCTCTCCCCATGCTGAAAAGTATGCGTTGGCCACAGTAGCAGGCCTGAGAGCCTTATTTTCTGTGATGGTCTGAAAAGGAAGCCCTCATTGTGAAGGAATAGTTCAGCGTGTTTTTCTGATAAACTTGTGATTCATGTCATATCACGACTGAAGCCACTTATTTTCAGTATCTCCTAACACGCATCTTGCCACTATTCTCTTTAGAAATCTATGGAGATTCTGAAGGGTTTGTTAAGCCTGTCGTTTTCTTGAGAGTCTTCCGAGAAGGGCATGATAAATTATTTAAGTACTTTTGTAGCGACAAAAGGGAAACATACTTTGGATAAAGACAACATGAGAGAATGAGTGAAGGAGAATATTGATTACACGGACAGTCTCCTTTCTTGAGCTTCTTAGAGGGAAGTGCTGCAAAAATCTAAAGTAATGGGTTAGCAGTATTTAGAGTCTCCAGTGGCAGATTTTATCTGAAATTACTTGCCACTAATATAATACCTGAAACCAAAATGAAAGTTCATTCCTTCAGAGTAACTGCCTTTGATAGAGTAAAAGAGAAACTATGGGTGCAGAAACGCAAGAAGAACCAGAAAAATGGGTACAGACTCTAAATCCTGCTTCTCTTCCGCATGTCTGACAGTTAAACTCACCCAGATTCACCTGGTTTTTCTGGTTACCTTTGATTTTGGATTTAGTGCCTGTGCAACTTTACTCTTCATTCTTTGACGTCAGGTTCTTAAAGGAACTGAAAGGTAGACTCTCTTAACACTAGACTGCTTACCCAGGCCTTGCATTGGGGACTCAAGATGCCAGCTGTCCTTCCTGGTCACCGGATAAGAGCAGTGTGGTGAATTACTCAAAATTTAAAGTTACCTTCTAGTTCTTACCAGGTGGAAACCTGCAGTAGTGAAGCAGAATAATTTGAAAATAAAATGACTGGTGTGGCGACCCTGGACTTGAATTTCCATTCCTGGATCTATAGGACTGAGATGTCAGATAAATGAGCCAGACGTTTTATGCAGCTAAGTTTATTCTCACAACATATTACATTTAAATGTGTAAAAGTGGTCAACAGCAAACGGGGCAGAAAGCAAAACCGAACGTTCTTTCAGGGTAAACAAGCCGCTTTGGATGGGAGGGAGTGCTCTCTCATTGATCAAGTGCGCGCGGAACCTTTTCTCCGAAGCTGAAATAAATTAAAACTTCATTTTACTGGCTGTATAACACACGTCAGCTGTGTATCAGGGTAAGGAAGCCTGGCAAACTAGAGAGCTAGTGTTTTCACTGGTTAAATTGTGCTAGTCTCAGATGTGTTTCATGTTGTTTGTGAAATCCTGAACTTGTGTCGCAATGCTTAATGAAATGAGTTTGTCATACAAGTCAAGGAGGAAAGATTTAGGGCTTTCGAGTAAGCGACCTCATGTAGAATCTTTCTACCAATCTCCATCATAGAATCGGAGTGGCCCTTTAACAAAGTAGAGGTGGCAACAGTTTGTCACCAAAAACTAATTTCAGTGGAGATGGGTCTAACGTCCCTTCATGCAGTAAGACAGACACAAAGGAAAACAATGGTCCTAATTAGCTACGGGCGATCTTCTAGCCGGGTGAACAGAGGGCTTGTGGGCACATGTCTGTCGTGTCTGTCGCCTGGAGGAGATCACAGGCGGTGTGAAGGATATAAAAACAAAGCACCTCACGGTGCTTTAGGTTTGCGAAGTAAAGTTTTTGCCGTAGGCATGTCGGCTCTTCCCCTTGAGGCTGCCAAGGAGCGTATATGAGGTGGCAAGTCTGCGTCTATCTAGCTGCTTTTAAAAAATAAAAGGAACTTTAAGCATGTTGCCGTTTCTTCTACATAGTCCAATAAAAATGTGTCTACAAATCATTACAAAACCACCTTTTAGGCAATGTATATAGTTCACTGAGATTACTTAGGCCTGGATACATTGTGAGATACTATCCAGTAAAGAGAGTACATTAACACAATAATGCAGTATATTTCAGTAAAAATAGAATAAATAAAATAAAAATATCTTAAGCTGTATTTAACAGGTTAATTAAAAAAATGATAGGACATACAAGGCATAGTGAACATGGCTGCCTGTTTACCGAGTCACAGATATAAAGAATGCATAGATAACTGAATGTCACCACAATTATCAGGTAAAAACACTGGCATCCTCTCACAGAAAAAATACACACATACTTTCATACATACTTTTTGGCCATGGCAGAAAGTGTCTGAACGTACTGTTTAACATAATCAATTTTACAAAATTAATTGCATTTAGTATGCAAAGCTATTTTCAAAACAAAATATCTGCAGTAAAGTTTTCAATATGTAAAGGCTATCGTTCGTCTTAATGCATCCTATAATTGCATATATAAATCAGTTTGCTACTTAAAGCTAGCTCAGTATTCTTGATCCTGAAAACAAACAAATGTATGCTTTAAAAAATGAACAGTGGGTTCGGGTAGAGATTTCCAATATAAAAGTGGATGACTTGTTCGGACTTTTTTATCACACTAAAACCTTTCATTGTGGAGATCAAGATGAAAGATCATCATGATTGAATTTCAAACAGCTTTTCAAAGGGCACAGTAAGGATTTTCTTAATGCAATAATTTCTTATGATGGCACTGGTTACTTCAGATAGAACAGTATACAGGCTGGTGAGAAGTAGAATTCATTTCTAGAGTGGCATCATTTTGGTCATAACACTACAGTGCTAGCAAACAGTTCCGGAGTTCTGAGGGAACAGAAGCAGCCCACCTACTCCATCGTGCTCTCTGGTGGCTGAGTACCATGAGTTAGGAACATGTCTATCACAAGTAACATCATCTCTGGAAAATCTTGTAAGTTGAACAGGCTGTACAGCAAGTAGAATCCTGTCCTGCACAACACATGTGAGGCACACTGCAGGAAAACAGTCCTGGACTGAGAGAGGGCGGTGGTTTTATGGTTAACATCACTGCGGGAGTCATCTGGACATATTTCCCGACTCCTACAGGGAATTCTAAGACCTCCTGACAATCACGAGATAGGCCCAGAGTAATCCTGGAAAGACCTGCTCACCGATGTGGCAGCAGCGGAACTTATAACAGACTTGGGAAGCGTGGGTTCTTGTCCTGGCTCTCTCACAAACTTGTGAGAGGTCTTAGGTGAGGTGACTGAGCCTCTTGGTACTCTAGATGTATTTTTATTTCTCAAATGTGTTTAGTACCTTCTCTACCTTGTAAGGCTCAAATGTGCTAAGAATGTGAAAACCATTGACAAGTACAGAGCAGTTGATAAACAAAGTGTTACTTTTAAAACCGGATGTTCTTAAAACGTTAATTTTGATATTAAAAAGTAAGTAAGACTAATGTTTAGATTGGTCTCCTTAGCAACTTCCTTTTAGAACAACAATGTCAACAAGAATCTAAATCTGTGTATCTTGATAGGTAAGTGAGAAAAGAGAAGCAGGAAAATGCTATATTTGGGAAACCTGTTAAGCAGTCCATTCTTGCTATGTTTATTTTGCTCTGATATGAAATTTTTAAATCTTGAAAAAATGGAAAAGGTAGAAATTTAAAAATATACCTAGTAAAGTCCAACAAATCCTAATATTAAATACATAAACTCAGAAAGGTTTAATTTAATGTAATTTGTTGCCATGGACAACGCATGATGGACAGACAGCTTTCTGGGCAAAAAGCACGAGGGTAAGACCGAGCGAGATACAGAATCCTGGCGGGCTTCACTAGGAGGCGGACTAACACAGTAATGTGGTGGTGGAGATCCAAAATATAAATGACATTTCCTCAACTCCAAATTGCATATTGGCTAATTAACAAACTAAGGATAAAAGGCGTACGAGGACTATTTCATTTTAATGTTTACGTAGAGAATGGCCATAGTGAACTATAATTCTCTAGCTGCATTGTACAATATAAGGCAGAAGTTTGAAACATGTCCCACCCGAAATGCATTAGGCTTGCCTTCAATCTTTCTTGTTTTTAATCATCAGTTTGAAAATCATCTAGAAAGAAAGGCTCTTTTTTGTTGAATTTTAATTTCTCAAATTTGGTTTGTGTTTCAATTTTCAAGTTTCACTTTTTCCCCAACATCCCACAAAACAGCTGCAGACGTGAAATGGTGTCCATGTGTCAAAGAGCTTTTCAGGGAAAGCTGCCGGTTGGTTTCTGTACTGATGCCGACAGCCAATTTTGTCAACCCAAAGGTTCAAGGTCATGAGCGACCGTAACAAAAACCCATCATCCTGCCTTTACAGCAATTCAATGGTCTCTGGAATGCAGTGGCTGGAATTCCAATGCTGGAAACAGGGCAGAGTGCTGTAGGACTTCCACATTGCTTGTGACAGATCCAGTCAAGAAGACAGTGAAACTAACTCAGGCGTCATTCACTCCAAGGACTCAGCGTTAGTTCACTAGGAGGGGTGTGGCCACATTCTTCTCCGCGTGTGTGACGTTAATGTCCACGATATTTACAATAAGAAAAAGACCTTCCGCTGCTCATGATGTATCTTACTGATAGCAAAAAAAATTAGTCATGCTTTTCATATCACATGATGGTGGCAAGACGCAAGAACATGCTTGTCTAACACTGTTTGGTTAAGGATAAATTCTCTGAAGACAAAGCATCAGCAACTGAATGGAAGGCCAGATGTCAGTTCATCTTCTTTAGTGTAGCTATTCGATCTTCAGGTAAATAGTACAGAATCCTTCAGCAGGTGCAGCTATGGCGTTTCTGTGACAGGGCGTTTCTGTTTCAAAGTGTCAATGAGGGATAAGACCCCTCGTTTTACATTGGTTGTGACTCTTCTGGTCACTGAGTCTGCTGGCGGAGGAGGTGGTCGAACTTTCTGTGAAGGCGGCCTGGCAACCAAGCACTTCTGGTATCGTAACTGAAATAAAACAAATATGTTTTATGGTCATCAATGATGATCGTCCCTTCTTGTTTACTTTGTGATCTGATGACTTAATGCATCACCAATACATTTACTTCCAAAACTTAACGACCTAGCTCCTAAGCATTAACCCAAGAGTTTTGTTTTCTTTTTTTTTTTTTCCCCTTTTTAAAAAATATTTGAGAGTGTGTGTGCATGAGAGCGTGGGAGAGGCAGAGAGGGAGACAGAGAATCCCAAGGAGACTCTGCGCTGCCAGTGCAGAGCCCAGTGCGGGGCTCCATCCCACGAACCATGAGACCGTGACCTGGGCTGAAATCAAGAGTCGGACCCTTAACCAACTGAGCCACCCAGGACCCAGAATTTATTTTTTCTTAAGGTGGGTATTTTAAAGGTTCTTAAGATCATTAGGCTCAAAAAAGTTTTGTGGCTTTTGCCCTCCTCTTCTTCCATCCATCTCCACCTTCTACCTGTTCTCTGGGTGGACTGGCTGCAATTAACACACCGAGCAGCCGAAGAGCTAATGAGAAGGCAGAGGATTGGGAGACACTGTTAGAGTTTCGTCGGAGACATGGATATCTCTGTACGTCAGGTAAGCGCTCATGGCTACCTGGGAGATAGCATGGTAGAAAGGGCACAGTTTGAATCTAGGCTCTCCCATTCATTTATGTGAACTGTGTGACCCGAGCAACTTATTCAATCTCTGAGCCTTAGTTTCTTCAGTGTAAAACGGCAGAAGACTGGGACCTTTACAGCGGATGCTGTGATTAGGGAATACTTGCAGAATGCTGCGAACAGGCCTAGCGAGCAATGCAGAAGGCGTTCATAAATGTTTGTTCCCTTTCCGGTTTCCTACTTTAATAAAAAAAAGAATAATGTATGAAGATTTCAGGATACATTTTATCTGCAAGTCTATGCTAATGGATTTAAAGCTTTTAAGTAATCTCTACACTCAACGTGGGGCTCAAACTCACAACCCCAAGATCAAGAGTCACATGCTCCACCGACTGAGCCAGCCAGGTGCCCATAAATCCTAATGGATTTAAAAGT